CCTACACACACACCAATTTAAAAAAAAATATTTGTTAATATGTATTTTATAGATATTTAAATGTTTTAGATTTTATATTTAAAAAAATACGTTTATAAAAAAATGGGTTTATTAGTTATATAGTTGCTATTGCTATTAAGAATTATCACCTCATGTTTTTTAATAACAAAGAATTAGAAGAAACCTAAATGCCCCCAGTAATAGTAATTTAAATTATGAAATATTATGTAACATTAAATTCAGTTTTTCAATATTATGTAACATTAAATTCAGTTTTTCAAAGAATATTTAGTGTTATTATATAATCAAGGGGAAGCTTTTTTATATATATAAACAGTGTAAAAGTTAGAAAATCACGAGTCCTGTATCATAAGACACTTAATGAATTATATTTAATAGCACTCCTTTGGTTTTTTGTGTTTGACTCATTTTCTTGAACTCTAACTCATTGCAAATGTAATCAAGCCTCTTTGGAATAAATGGAGTCGAGTATTCCTGGATATTTTATAGAGAAAAGTATTATATAACTTTTCACTTCATTTAACACGAACACCATACACTTATACTAGGCTTTTTATAGCCATGCCACATAAAAAGCATTATGTAATATTTTGTATCTTTAGTTTAATAAAGTTAAACCAAAATGCATAAACTAAAATCCTGGCCTAGTTCTATCCAGAGATAATCACTGATGATGGTTTAGATAGATGCACAGTTCATATGTATTTCTATGCATATGCAAACATGTACATATGCAAACATGTACATTGGCTTTTCTTTCAATTAACTAAATCTTTTTTCTTCCAACACTTCTGTTAAACTTTTAATGAGTGATAGTCTTTCAGCATACTATTTTCTGTAATCTTCTGTTTATGCTCTTAATCATACTCCTGTATGTCATACTCCTGACACTTTTTGTTCCTCCACCATTTCAGTTTACTTTACCAAATTTCAGTAACATACATCTGAGTGTTTCCACTTCGTAATGATCAAGAGAAATGTTACACCTAGTTGCCCATAATATGTGTGTTTATGCTGTTATACGTATTTGTGTATTTGCAAAAATTAATCTGGGAAGACACATACCAAATGCTTTCACAATAGTTTTCTTTGGGAAGGGAGTTTAACTGTGGGCAAAGTGGGCTTTAATTTTTATTCCAAATACTTCAATACTATATTGTTTTAATTTTTAAAACACTTATAATTATAAAAATGTAATTTTAAAAGGATATATACTGTGTTCATGTAATAATACCTAATCAGCTTTGTGCTAAAATGTGGTTTGCCGTTTTCCATCTTTTCACAGGACATCATGGTGATGTTGGAGCTCCTATAGCGGATGTTATTCTCCCCGGCGCTGCTTACACAGAGAAGTCTGCTACTTATGTCAATACTGAGGGCCGAGCTCAGCAGACTAAAGTAGCAGTGACACCTCCTGGCTTGGCAAGAGAAGACTGGAAAATTATAAGAGCCCTTTCTGAAGTATTTGTCCTTAGTGATGCTGCTAATGGAATGTTTGACATGTTAGCTTGTCAGTGATTTTCAAAGTCAAGGAAGATGCACGTCTGAAATGCAGAGATGACTTGAATAATCTCTGTAGGAAAAACATGTTCAGCAAACGGGGATTTGGGGAATTCCCTGGCGGTCCAGTGGTTAGGACGCCACACTTTCACTGCCAAGGGCATGGGTTTGATCCCTGGTGGGGGAACTACGATCCCACAGGCCACATGGTATGGCTGAAAAAAATAAAAAACATGGGGATTTGAAATAGGTGTTTTTACTTTTGACTTGTCTTTTTAACTCTTTGATTATAAAAAGAAGCATCATGAGATTTAAAATATTAATATACAGTTGTCTATCAACTTTATATATGAGCAATAGCAGGTTAGCCAAAGCATTCAAATTTAGCAAAGCATTTCTTTATTTCATAATCAGTGTATTTTCTAAAAACAAATTACTGATGTATTGACAGCTGTTTATGAATTAGATGAATTATTTACAGTAGTATTCCCCACTTAACCACCTGCTTAATATACATACAAATGGACACCAATATATTTTTCATAGTAGTACTGCATTATTTTACCGTAGTTGCAATGATGTATTATTTGAAATATTTAAGTATTAATGCTTTATGTCAATTTTTGGAACCTGTTATGTTATAGATTGCAGGTATGACTCTTCCATATGATACTTTGGATCAAGTAAGGAACAGATTGGAAGAAGTCTCTCCTAATCTTGTTCGATATGATGATGTCGAAGGAGCTAATTATTTCCAGCAAGCAAATGAGCTTTCCAAGGTAAAAACACGCCTATATGCAGTTTGCATAATAATGTATCCTCTGGTGTAACAGTACTAATTTTCAATACCATTATTATTGATCTCTTACTCTTTTTTTGCAGCTAGTGAACCAACACCTTCTTGCTGATCCACTTGTTCCACCTCAGCTAACAATAAAAGACTTCTACATGACAGGTACGCAGTTGTCAGCATGACTGCCAAACATGAAAGGTAGAAAGGAGTAAAATCACCTAATTTAGCATTATGATTCCAACGTGTTAGTGGTAGTATTTGATGTTTTTAATCTCAGAAGATTTTTCAAATATCAGAACTAATGTAACTTTATATTTTCTCATTTTACTCTAATTTTTCTTTCTGAAATGTAAGTAGAGTTTGAAAATCCAAGAATTAACAGATTTTAAATATAAAATTGTACTACTGTATGAAGAATTACTGTGTAGCAATTTAGGGAGAATTTTCTAAGTGACAAACATCTGTGAAGGTTTTTCTGAGAATTACAGTAGAAGAATCAAAACACTAAAATGTGAAACATGCTAAATGGTGCTTCTGATGTAAATTGTTAAGAATGTGCTTAAGGAATGCAGACTAACAAACTTGTTTACTACAGATTTTACAACACTTGATATAACATCTAGGTTATGAGATAGTTGATAGACAATTTAAAATAATTTTCTGTCTAAAAGCAGATAGGAGTATATTTTTCAAGTTCTTGGTGCAGTTTGTATCTAAGATTATTATTATTTTTTTTTATTTTTATTTCTTTATTTTTGACTATTGAGTCTTTGTTGCCGCATGCAGGCTTCCTCTAGTTGTGGCGAGCGGGGGCTACTGTTCTTTGAGGTGTGCGGGCTTCTCATTGCGGTGGCTTCTCTTGTTGCAAAGCATGGACTCTAGGCGCACAGGCTTCAGCAGTTGCGTCACGCCGGCTCAGTATTTGCAGCTCATGGGCTCCGGACACACAGGCTCAGTAGTTGTGGCACACGGGCTTAGTTGTTCCACGGCATGTGGGATCTTCCCGGACCAGGGCTCAAACCCGTGTCCCCTGCATTGGCAGGCGGACTCTCAACCACTGCGCCACCAGGGAAGCCCTAAGATTATTTTTAATAGGTTTTTTCCAGTTGTATTATAAAAGTTATGTTCATTGCAGAATACATACCTAAGCCCACAAGAGCAAGTAAAAATCACTATGATCCCACTACCCAGAAATAACTGTGTTTAACATTTTGGCCAGTCATCCAGGGATATACACATATATTAATTTATTTAAACTAAAAATGAGATTACCTATTTACTCTGGGGGAGAGGGTTTGGACAGCTTTATTGAAATATTCACATACATAAAATTCACCCATAAAGTGAATTCATGGATTTTAGTACACTGTTCTGTAACCTTTTTTCAATAATGGTATATTGCACATTCTTTTCCTATCTTTAATACTTTTCTATAATATTTTTAATGGTTGCACACTGGCCCTTTGTATGGCTGTATATAATTATTTAATCATTCCTGGGAGTACTTATTAAAAGCATTTAGCTATTAAGGGGCTTATCTTCTGAACTTATTGATTTTACAATGTTTATGTATAGTTACACAGACTCTTCCAGTCTTTTTTGTTGTTGTTCCTGAATATGTGCAACAGGAAAGTTTTACTGTGTGCTTCTTTTGAAGTTGTATTATCAAAACGCACATTTTCTTGATATCTTTCAGATTCAATTAGCAGAGCCTCACAGACAATGGCTAAATGTGTCAAAGCTGTCACAGAGGGTGCCCATGCAGTAGAGGAACCATCCATATGCTGAAACATCTACTAGCATCCAGTTAGTTAGACAGTTACGTTGGCATGATCTCTTAGAGGTGTATCTCTCTAAAAAATAATCTAAATGATGTAATATTTAAGGTTCTACCATGCTTTGTTTGAAAACGATATTGCAATTATCAAAGAACTTTGAGGTTTCCAAACATTTATGTATTGCATGTAAACGTTAAATAGTTTAATAAACATGTATAGATGCCCTTTCATGTAAAAGCACTGATAATCTTTGTGACATAAAAAAGAAAATCCTTAAAATATGAATTTTTGTTTATCTTCATTGATCACTTATGTTTGTAAAATGGATGAAATAATAGCTCCATTAGGACCTATTTTTTTCTAGTGCTAAAGAAAAGATTTAAGTATTCTGTGAAGCTGGGTAAATAGAAAATATATATAATATCATACATCAGATGTATATCTTGGACAGCACTAATAATAATCATAATAATGAAGGCTAATGATTATTCAGGATTTTCTACTAAGCACTCTGGTTTTACATACATTATATTGTTTTGTCCTTTTACATCCCTGTGAGACAGTATTATCTCATTTTACAGGTGAAGAAACTAAAGCCCGTGGGTATTGGGTAGCTTGCCCAAGGCCACAGCAAAAGAGTCATAGAATCAAGCCTGGTTCTCTGACTTCAAAGCCCATTGTTCTTAACTGCTGCACATAATTTCCTCCCATTAGTACAGATTCCATAGGTTGTTACGTCTAAGAATCAGTATTGAGAAGCTTAATGGATAACACATTTTTCTGTTTTCTCTTGTATCTGTTTATATAATGTCATGGTGATTTATGGGATATTTTTCTTTGTATAATAGATTGCACACACATACACCCTTGGAATGAGGGAGGTTTCAAGAGATATAATTTAGGTCCTCATTGATGTTCCGTATTTATTATATTAACACCATCTGTAGTATTAAGTCAACTAAATTATTCCAGTAATAAAAGACAAAACTAACAGCTCTCATAATTTTCAGTTGTCAAAAAAAGTTAAAAATTTACAATTAATCTAGGAGATAATCTAATGCTATATTAATTTGTTTTCAAAATCTATGTTCAGAATCCTTTGTTTTGTAATCCTTATTCCTTTTTGCTTTCATCAAAGACTTAGCCCAACTATAGGTTACGATTTTACTGATATAACAGAGGATAAAAATTTTAGACTATAGTATATCACCAGTACTTTATCTTCAAAAATTGTACAAAATTTGTCACCTGTAACAGTTTTTTCAGAATTATTTTATTCACTTCAGTCATGAAGTTGTATACTTTGCTTAAAGTACTTTGCTTAAAATTCTCAGTTGCCTGAACTTGTATAAATTGTATAAATTCTTGCTGAAAGTCTTTGAATTTAATACAAACTTTTTATCTCTCTCTACCTTCTTTATCCCTTAGCACTGTTGCTGACCTCAAGGGGGCAAACACTTTCAGTTTTGTGTTTTGCACAGTACTCTTCAATGAATGAGTATAGACTTCATAGGATTCTTGGTGAGGGAATATTGCATTCAAATGGAGAAAAGGTGATATATAACTAAGATGGTCCAGGATCCTAGGACAGCCATCTAGGCAGCATGTGTTGAACTTGGAATTCTGTAAAGAATACCTTGTTTGGGCTAAGTAGTACTGAATAAAATTTGTTGGTTTTTACATAAAGTAAACATTAAAGTCTGTCCCATGGGCGCCCGTTAGTCACTTAATGCTAAATATTAAGGTTATTGTGACCATAAACACTGAAGATGGTTGCAAGACTTTCTGAAGAAGAGACCCAGATAGAAGAAAAATACGTATAGATGAGAAGAATAACAGCTGATGTAGTTTTGATTCTAAGCAAGAGGGAGTCAACAATGAGAAACAAAGGATCAAGGCCAAGTCCTTTTAGGTGAAGATGGCAATCTGGAAAGACCCTGGAATAATAAATAATACCATTTAGAAAAGATATTCTAATACGTGCCATTAAAGCTTTAAGTATATTGTGTCTAATTTTCACAAAACCCTGCTAACAATCGGCATTAAGACCCAAGAAGTATCAAATAACTTGCCCATTGTTACCCAGTTAAAGACTAAAGGCAAGAATGTTTAATTAGAGGTATATTTTACTGTCCCATTTTGCCTCAAAAAACCTTCTGGACCACTATAAGAATTGAATAGATATACAGGAAAATTTTTAAAGCCTAAACTTCATACAGAATGCCCCCCAAATTTATTGTGAATTGTATTATAATGAATACATCAATAAAAAGTATTATACCTTATTAACAATACTCAGTATACAATAATTTATTATTGTTTGGTGCTGAGTTGTTTAAACACTGTTTCTTGCCAGGTCAGACAGATCTTGTTCAACTTTGGAAATATTACTTGGAAAAATTTAACTATTTCTTCATCTGTAAAATGAGGATAAATGTTCTAATAATTGTACCTACCTTCAGCCTTATAGGGTTGTTATGAGGAGCAAGTCAGAAAGCCTCTAAAACTTGCTTGGCCTATTTCCTGACACAGTGAATGCTCAATGTGCTTAGGGACTGAGAACCATCATTATAGGAAAATCTGTGTTCAGAACTTTGCGGGATGTTTCAGGAGGTTGCAACTAACCATCCATGGGAGCCCTTGAAGTCCCCCTTCTGAGTGAATTGAGTAAAAAGCTCAATTTCATTGATTGTGGGGGAAAGTCATGCCTAATATAACCTCTAGCTTCTGTTTTCCTAAAGAAATGTATTTCTTTCCTAAGACTCGAGGATTAAATGACTTGTCCAAGGTCAACCCAAGTAACAGAATACTGCTACTACAAACTGTCCACCAGGATTGTGAAGATTAGTTTATTATGCAGAGCTCTGCATATTTTGATGGAATTTTTACTAGTCACAGTAAGATTTACTGAGTCTGTTGGATTCTAACCCTTAAAAGAGACTACTGAAAGCAAAAACAAAAAGCAGTGCAATCAGAAGAGGGAAAACTATATGCTGGTGATAGAAAGGGAACTGAAGGAGGGTAAGAGCTATTGATGTGCATAAAAGGGGACAGGTGAATTCTTTTGCCAACATGAACCTTTGGCTAATATAAACTGTCAGCTTTATTGTTGCCGAAACAAATTACCCCACCACGATTCAAGCTCCCACGGGGAGAGGAACTAAAGCAGCTTAGCAACAAAAGCAGTGGTAAGAGGTGGGGTTTTTTTTAATGTTAGCAATGTCATTCATGACCACTGTTAAAATGTCACTAGCAAAGTGATTACAGACCCCTGTTACCAAAGGCCCAGTGTGGCTGGGGAATAGTTCAAGCAGAAATAAATGACACGCATGAGTATGACAATTTTTTAGACATTTTGTAAGGTTAATCCTACCTTAGCATATCTAGACCTTAGGTTTGTGATTGACCCAACTTTTGGAAACAAGTACATGTGAAAAGAATGAACCTTGATAAAGACATTTTGGAACCAAAAAAGTATGTGTGTATACATATATGGCCACCTTTTATAAAAAGATAAAACTAATCCCCAAATAATTTTCTAATAACCAGTATTTTTAAATGTCTTAACAGTTGCACAGTATGTTGCTTATTTCATTTAGCCCAAGAGGCAAGAATGTTAATGAGATATTTGATTAGACCTCAGATATTGTAAGAGAACAAAGATCTGAGAGCCAAATACCCTTTTGCTTAAAGTGTTTTATGGTTCTTATTACTGAAAAATTTTAAAGATTAAAGACTTACCTATGACTGATATTCAAACTATGATTGATATTCAAAATCATTGACAATTTTTTTAAAATAACTTACACTGAAAAGCATATGTTGATATTGAAAAATAGGGTAAAATGTACAGTCTAGAACTAGTAATTAGTTTACAGTATTTAATTTGAATTGGTATATAAAGAGATCATAAGATGAATAACAATTTACTTCTTATTTCTTTTTGGCCATGCTGCACGGCGTGCAGGATCTCAGTTCCCCGACCAGGGATGGAACCCATGCCCCCTACAGTGGAAGCGTGGAGTCTTAACCACTGGACCACCAGGGAAGTCCCTAATATCCTTCTTAGACGCATATAACTTCAGATCTGAAAAGGACTGTAGAAAAAAAATCTAGTATCACACGTACATTTGGTAATTATGGAAATGGAGGCCAAGGAGAATAAGGAGTAAATGAGGGACAGATCCTGTGATTTGAACCAGCCCTTCCGACTCCCGGTTCAGTGACATCTCAAAGTCTGAAACTCAGTTCCAACATTTATTAAAGGTTTGCAGAGTATCTGCTGTGTGTGAATACAATATTAAGTATTAGGACTACAAAGAGAAATACATATATGAAAAGTATCTCAGCAGATGCAAAAAAAACTTAATTGTGTTTACCTCTAGGTAGGTCAACTAGTCTGAGGAATAGCATAAAGAAAAGGATTGTATGCCTCTATCATTTGGGGCTTCCCTGGTGGCGCAGTGGTTGAGAGTGCGCCTGCCGATGCTAGGGGACATGGGTTCGTGCCCCGGTCCAGGAAGATCTCACATGCCGCGGAGTGGCTGGGCCCGTGAGCCATGGCCACTGAGCCTGTGCGTCCAGAGCCTGTGCTCCGCAATGGGAGAGGACACAGCAGTGAGAGGCTGCGTACCGCAACCGCAAAAAAAACCCCACAGCATTTGAAGGCTTTTACAATAAGAATATATTGCTTCTATAATTTTTAAAAACATTGTTTAAATGAAAAATGCAAAATTGTATGCATACTACATGTGGTTGGCAGCCTCTAACATGGCCCCAATGATCCCTGCCTCCTGGGATTCACACCCTTTTGTCATCTTTGCTCCTTGCGTGTGGGCTAGACTTCCTGATTCACTTCTAATGAATAGGGATGCCTCTGCTGAGATGAAGTTTTAAACAGTCTGTGGTTTCTGTTTTGGGCTCTCTGATTCTCTCCCTCTCAGATCACTGCCTGCCATGTTGTGAGGATACTTAGGCAGCCTATGGAGAGGCCTCATGTGGTAAGGAGGAGGCCTTCCAGTAACCGTATCAGTGAGCTGAATCCTGGCTGCCAATTGAGTGGAGGTGACTGTAGCCCCAGCCAACAGCCTAATTGCAACCCCATACATTTCTGGATTCCTAACACACAGAAATTGTGAGCTAATAAATAGTTGTTGTTTTTAACCACGAAATTTTGGGTTATTTTGTTATGCAGTAATAGATAATACACTATGATTACAACCAGGCAAAGGCATATACCAGGGTACCCGTATCCAGTGACTGACTTCACGTGGGAGTATAAAGGCCTGGCCATCTAGTGCCAATGGAGAACACTTCTCAAAGGCTGTTTAGCTCTCAAGTGTTCTGTGGGGCTGGCTGAGGCTGTCATTGGACCTGCATTGCAGCTCAACTTTTCCCTCCACCCACTCCTGCCTTCTTCCTCTCCCTTACAGGTGTTGACCCCCATGGAACTCCTTAATAAATATTTTGCACATTGAATTCTGCTCAGAGTGTGCTACCTGGGGAATCCAAACCGTGACAGCCGTCTGGAGTATCTATGGATCCTAGGTAGCTGCTCTGATTATCACTGTCTCAGCCAACAAGAAGAGTGAGGGAGAAGTAGTAGAGGGACAAGCACTGATGTTCTATTGACATGACTTGGAAATTGCATCACTTCCATTCACATACCATAGGCAAGACTTACAGCCACACTCACCTGCATGAGAGGATGCTGGGAAATGCAGCCTCCAGCTGGACAGCCATCTACTCAACTGAGACAAATTCTAAGAGGTGTTCTAGTTGATCTTTTGCTATGTAACAAACCACCCCAAAACTTAGTGGTGTAAAACAACAACCATTTTATTATGCTCATGAGATTCCATGGATCCAAACTATAGAAAGGGCACAGGGAGATGGAGTGACAGCTGGATGACTAGAGTATTTGGGGATGACTCAAATAGCTGGGGACTGGAGCAGCTGTGGCTGGAGGACCTTCAGTCCCCAGATGGCATTTTCACTTACATGTTTGGCTCCTGG